GCTGGTTTAGCATCAGATGTGACTGATTACCACATTGAGGTGAATCCAGACAGAGGAGGACACCAGAGATGCTGCCCTCCATCACTATATTAAGCTGCATTAGCAGGAAGCCAGAGGTTGTCCCTACGGCTGCTGCTGAATCCGCTTGCATGAGAAATGTGTTTGTTAGAGATGCTTTTCTTTTAATAAGGGGGACAGCTGTGGGTTGGAAGATTTAACTTCTCTTATTTCATATATTCATTTATGCTATTTACTCACTGAAAAAAAGTTTTTTTCACTCAGTTTCACCTGTAAGGCCACAAAATACCTGAGTGATTGAATGATTGTAGAGCAGAAATAGCTTCTTACATCACAAACCAGATTCTTTCTCAGGTTTATTCATAACATTTTACTGTTTAACCAAAGTGTCTGTAATTAGTTTAGACTCTGACTATTTTCCATTATTGTAAATAAGGAGGAACGAACGCTGCTCAGATCAGAACAGGGCTGATTACTGTCCCATTAGGGCCGCATGATGAACTGTTAGCTCTTTTTAAAGATAAAATAAAGTTCTGACTGAGTGAAATCCATCGATCTCCGTTTATTAAACTGGAGTAAATAGTTGAATACTTTTTTTTCACTACAGTATATTAGTATGAATGTGAATTAACAGCAAACTGAGAGGCAGATGGACGCACACAGACTAGAGACTGACTTTTTTTCGGGAATCCCACGGGTCACGGGATTCCCGTGGGATGGGAGTCAGTATTAGTAATGATCATGTGATTGGGACGGTACAGGATTAAACACTAACGGGAGAAGACAGGAGCGGGAGCAAACCAATAATAACAAAAAAAAAAACTAGGATCGATGCCAAAAAATAAAATAAATAGAAAGAAAAAAAATCCAGTACTGGTGCCGCCATTTTGTAGTTTTTTTTCCTTGAAGTCTACACTATAATACGAGTCAAAAAAACTACACAACCCAAAAACCAACAGTGCTTCCGCTCTGAGTTTTTCACCCGCGCTCAAAAAAACAAACAATGGGAGTGGTGCAGGAGCGGGAGTCATTCTGAATGGGAGCGGGATGGGAGTGGGAGTAATTTCACCAGGATTGGGACGGGACAGGATTTAGATTTCTACTCTGGCCCGGGATCGGGACGGGACACCATTTTTTTCTGTGGGAGTGGGACGGGACAGGAGTGAAAATCCACTCCCGTGTCAGTCTCTAATACAGACACACTGAGGGTGATAACACACTAACTGAAGCTCTGAATGAAACTATACTTCTATAAAAGGTATAAACATTTATACTGAGAGTCATTTGGTCTATTTACCCAAACAGGAAGGCGACTTGATTCTATAACTTTGCACCTTGGGCTGAGTTTTCCTCCACTGGTTAACTTTACTCTAATCCAAATGGTTTAATGTTTTTGTTTTGAAATGGAAACATGGAGAAAACTGTTCATTTAAAGACGTGTATGATAGAAAAGTGCACCTAGAAAACCCTTCAGTAGCCATCTGGCTGCATGTTTTCCCCTCATTATCTCTGCTAATCTAAACTGATTGGTTAGCTGGCGTTAGCACGCACATTTAGCTGGTTTTAAAAACCAGTGGGATTATTGTCCTGTTGGGGCATCTTTCACCTGGTTTGGAGGTATTGATGTCAACCACTTTGGTACCATCGCCAGCTACACAGACCCACAGAATGACACAGCCACTTCTATGCTAGACAGCTGGGTCGGGGTTGTAAAGTTTGAAAGCTTCCAAGCATCTGAGCCGTTGCTACGTCAGCCCTGTTCTCCACACGCTTGTTCTCGTGTGCAGCGTTAAGAGGCAGCACCTCTTGTCAGTGTTAACCTGTAGACGCTCGCACCAGTATTCCACAAGTTTCCAGTTCATGGCAGAGCTGAACCTTGCTGTTTAACTGGGAGGAAGGAAATAATGAACTCAGTTCTGCCAAGAACAATGGTCAGATATAGAAAACATGATGGCTGCAGCTGCAGCTTGATGCAGACGCTGCTGGTGCTGCATGTTTATGTTGACTTTGACCTAAGATTTAGACAATCTTTGTTGTGCCATATGCACTTTGGGACATGATGACCAGAGAAGAGGACGCAGCTTTGGTCAAAGCAGTCACAGGCAAGCCACATGGCAACTCACAGAGGTGTGACTTCCCAGCCCCCTCTGTGTGAGGACAGTAGAAAATCTGATTCCTCCTCTTTCCCTGCTCTTTGGGGAAGCTGCGGTCCGCTTGGGCTGGATCTCCGTCAAGATGGAGATCCAACGCCCAGAGGGGACCCAGATCTCCAGAATCATCAAGGATGAGTCAGAACCTTTCAGAACCAAACTGCTGCAAAACAGACCTTTTGCAATATTTGCAATTTCTCTTGAGTTTTAGAACTTATACAGCCAGACTGGATGAGAAGGCCTGCCTTGATGAGCCACTGAGACAAAGAGAGAGAGCCGGCCTTACTGTTAGCTGCCTGCTAAGCTGCTGGATGAAACTCAAGCCTTTCAAAAGGACATGAACAGAGGTTTGCAGGTCTGGCTTGATTAGGGACAGAACAAACAATTTGTCTTTTGATGATGTTGATCATTTCAGGTGTTTACTGATGATTAAGAGCAAAGCTAACAGGATGGACTGCATGCTACGCTATGCTACAGGAATATGTGTTGATCTGTTGCTGAAGCTTAGACCAGCTTTATTCACTAAGGGTTTAAACACTGATATAACATTAGTGTTCATGTGTTCCTCAGATGCTCGTTACATTTCCATTACCAAGTCTGACCAAGAGTCATTTAGTGGAATCCTGATGTCTATTCACTGCTAGCTATTTCAAGGAGGGTAAATAATCATTTAGCTAAAGGTTATTGGTTCCTGATTAAACAAATCATTCAAAAAAACATTAATAATGTTTTATTCACCTCATGGATTTGCATTGTGAATTAGTCTGAAAACATTCCAATTTCTCTAAATTAGTGAAAAGCTAATTTGATCAGATCCCAAATTCTTCCAGATAAACAAAAATCCATCTTAAACTGTAACATGTTTTTCAACCATGTTTCCCTTCCTCTTTGAACATAGTAGTTTAGTTTAGTTGAATTTCACTAGTTTTAGTTAAGCATTTTTAATTGAAATATTTGTTTGACTTGGAGCTGAATGATTTTTGTTAATAAAATCTTATATTTTGAACAGAAGTTGTGGTGAATTTATTCCATGTATGTGCAGAATTAACAGTTTGACCATGATTAGTGCTCGAATCACTCTTTCATTTATTGTTCTAACACACAGTTAGTAGGACGCGTGTTCATAGTATATAACAGCTGAAATAATATCTGATTAAATAAGATATTTACTGCCCCCCCCAACCAGGGAGGGCTATAAACATCTTAAAGTATCAGAAATATAAACTCACTGGGAATAGAATAGAATATAAAATCACCTTTATTGTCATTTTTTATACAGAGTGTAGGTTTGTAAACACAGACACTAAATGAACATTTCCATTCCATAAAGTGCAGCAGTGATTAAATGTAAACAGTGTGGGAGAAAAAACATTAATAACCGCTTTATTATGGAAGTTCAGAGCTTTAATATCTATGGAGCAAATCTGCAGTATTTTGGTTTGGTGACATCAGCTTGATGCAGAGTCTGTGAGTTTCTGGGTTAAAGGAAAACGTCCAGTAAATTTCAACTTGTTCTCTGCTCTGACAGAAAGGGTTCATGCATCCTCACAGGATGGACATCAATGGCTTCCTCTGCTTCTGAACAGATCATTCCTGTGGTTTTAAATATGGCTGAAAGGGAGAATGACTGAGACCTGAAATGTTACAAACTCTTCTAACGAGGAAACACTTTCACCATCAATATTTAACTTGGTTTGATTTAAGGTTCAGCAGAGACTAAACTATTTATAACTCGGAGGACTAAAGTTAACATTCTGTTAACTTTTACAGGTTTATGGAGGAAATTTGTTTTCATTCAGATGAAATTAGGATTTGCAGAAAACAAACAAGGAACAAAGGTGATTAGCAAGCGGAATGGAAGTGCGTTAGCATTAGCAGACAGTTGCTCTGCG